GCTGATTCTAAAGTTCATATGAAAACCAGACTAAACCAGCCAAGAAAAATCTGAGGAAGAAGAGCAGGCAGGATGAGCCCTGCCAAACACTATCATAACATCTCCATAGTGAAGGACAGGCATGTGAACAGACACAACTTCACACGAGGATCATCTGTACAGAAATATGGGATCCTACACTGGGCCAGGGGACTCTTTAATTACTGCTGCTGGGACTAGCCAGAGAGCTCTCTAGAAAAGAGTTGACTTTATATATCAAATGCCAGGATAGTTTCCAGAAGGATCAATTGTTTAAATTAGCAATTTCTTTTTTTTTCTTTCTTTTTTTTTTTGGTACCAGAATCAAACTCAGGACCTTGTGCTTGCCAGGCAGGTGCTTGTGCCACTGAGCTATATCCCTGGCTCCAAGGATCAATTGTTTAAATGTAAAAATGAATACACAAAGTACTAGAAGAAAATTACCTTTTAAAAAAAATGGACACAGAATTTTTTCTTTTCTTTTCTTTTTCTTTCTTTTTTTCTTTTTTTTTAGTCTTTTTGAAACAGGGTTTCAATATGCAATTCAGGCTGGCCTTGAACTCACAGTGATCACCCTACCTTAGCCTCCCGAGTGCTTGGACTACAGGCATGCACCACCATGTCTGGCTTGGATACAGAGTTTTGATTACTCAAAATCCACAGTGTAAGAAATGGGTAAATTCAGTCAGAAACTTCTGCATAGGAATACCACTATAAGCCAAACCAAATGGCAAACTGAGAACATGTACAATTCATATACATATAAGAGCTGCATTTTCCTAGTTTATAAAAGCTCCCAAAGTTCATGAGAAAAAAAAATGAGCAAAGGATAATAGCAATTCACAGAAGAGGAAATACATAGCAAAAGATACTTAACTTTATTCATAATAAAGGAAATAAAACTAAAACTGATATCTACATTTCCCTATCAAACAGGCCTTCTGCCCTGTAGGTAAGAGCATAGCTTGCTGGGAATCAGTACAGCAGTAAAACTACTATGGGGACAATTTGGTGATATTTTCAGATTCTCAAATCCAAATATACTTGAACAGTTATTGCACAGATATCCCCAGAACAGTGCAAAATGACATTTGTCCAAGTTTAATAAAAAGAGGAAAAAAATTAACAAAATACCTCATTCCTTCAATCAAAACTGGCTCCATAATTTCTAGAACAACTATGTGATGAATTGTAGGCAGCTGTACAAAAGAGGATGCACACTTTCTACGAATGAGATAATCTCCAAGATATGGCAGGTTTACAAAACAAGGTACGAAAAGCCTTTATGTAATACATTACAAAAGAGGGAATTTGAGGCTATGTATTCTACCTGTACCTGCAAAAACTGCTGAGAAAAACTAACAATGGTTACCTGTGGTGAGGGCTGCAGAGAAAGTGGGTAGAGACAGTGGTCACATTGAAGACATTTTTATTTATTCAGTGACTTATTTTTAAACCATGTGTCTGTATTTCCTATTCAAGAATTAATTTTAGCAGGGCACAAAGGTGTACATCTATAATCTCAGCTACCTGCAAGGCTAAGGTAGGAGGATAGCAAGTTCAAGACCAGCCTGGGTGACTTAGTGAGATACTATCCCCAAGTAAAACTTTTTAAAAGCAGGCGTGTGTGTGTGTATGTATGCATGCACTGGGAATACATCAGTGGTATAGTACTTGCTTAGCATGCTTGAGGCCATGGGTTCAATCACAGCAACACACAGAAACACACACAGAAACACACAGACACACACACAGAAAGAAAAGGCAAGAAAAAAATTAAAGATACAAATAAGCGTTGAATTACAACTTTGTTAAAGTACTAGGATGAGAAAGCACACACTTGCCGGGCATGGTGGCACACATCTGTAATCCCAGCACTTGGGAGGCTGAGGCAGGAGGATCACTGTGAATTCAAGGCCAGCCTGGGCTACAAAGTGAGCTCAAGCCAGCCTGAACTGCATAGCGAAACCCTGTCTCAAAAAGACAGACAGAGAGAGAGAGAGAGAGAAAGCACTCATAGTGCTCTGACAGCATGGAATGGAGACCCTGCATTTTCCCCCTGTGAAGTTGCATCTGAACTCAGATCTGAACTCAGGAGTAATTAGGTGAAGAGGGTAGGAAGATCATCCCAGGCCTATGGGGTAGCAGCAATCTGGTCAGAACCCAGGTTTGTCTTTTAGGAGCATCTGCCCACGTGGTCTGAGGGGCTCCTGTTCTGGGGCTTCAGCTGCCACACAAGACCGATTGCCAAGGCCAAGTCTTCACCTGGACCCTGGTCAATGCCGAAAAGCAGCAGTCATGAGGGAGGGAGCCTGGGAAAACAGGGAAACTAGGAAAACCCGCACAATCCCAAACTGGCTGCGCTATCCCCCCCCACACACCGGGTGTTCTCCTGGAGGCTTTCTGTGCAGGTGGACCAGTGGCCTCTAAGCTAGGAGGGCATCGAGTCCAGCTGGCCGACCTCAAGATGATACCACAAGCATTCAAAGTGGTTCTCAACTTCACCACGATGGCCACATGCCCAGCTCACACCTGGGTGTGGCCTCTTTCCCAACGGGAGATCCCAGCCCTTTGGCAGGGGCACAGTAGGCTGCCAGCGGGTGGCAGGGAAAGCCCAAAATCTACCTGGCTAGAAAAAGTTCTTCGCAGCTAGGAAGCATTTAGGAAAAACTGAAAATGAGGAAGGTGACTTCTTCACCCTTCAGTAGGGCTCATCTCCCTCTCTGGCACAGGCCAAGGAGCAAAAGGTCCAGGTCCCAATGAGCTGCTTTGCCCCGGTATGGCCAGGAAGCTAGTTCACCTTCCATAGCCCTTGTCTGCTTGGCCAGAGGCCACTCCTTTTTCAGTGATGTTCCAAATAGCTGCGGATAAGACAGCCCTGGGTCCAGAAAAAAAGGAAATGGAGCCACAAGACTGTGTTGCTAAGAAACAGGAGACACAGGTTGGGTCGGGTTCGGAGCACCTGCTCCCCCACTCTCTGCTCCTGAGTTAATCTCCTGCTCTCCTTGAGCTCTACAGCGCAGGGCATGTGGAAGCCAGTAAACTACAAGCGCTGGATAAGTGCTGGGAGAAGCAAGACTCCCACATCTCATCCCTCAGAGGAGAAAGCTGACAGAGACAAAATCCCTATGCCAAGGGCAGGGGAACCCAGGCAGGCAGGGCAAGTATAGCCTCCTCAGCCTGTCAGGCAGCCCCACTGGCGCAGACCTGCAGGTTTGTCATGAACCCCTCAGAGAGCCACCAAAGAGGCATGGAGGCTGGGAACCTTTCCCGCAGGGCAGTGAAGCTGAGAGCTCCCACGTTTCCTAAAGAAAGCCCAGCTTCTCAACCCTTGGCCCTACCACCACCATTTCCACAATGGTCAGGGTGACAGAGGAGTCCTCTGAGGTATCCCTGTAGCTGGGAACCCTGACAACAAGCCAAGGCATCCAGAACTCTCTCAGAGCCTTGATCGATCTCTAGGTACTTCTGGTCAACCAAAGAGGCAGCTGCTGCTAAGCTCCAGACTCAGCCCACAGTCTGTCCTGTGCGGTCTGTGGGAGTCTGATTTTAAGTGTTTAGGCTCCCCACTGCCACCACAGAGGCCCTCCCTACACTTTTGAGACTGGTGCCACAGCCTGGCCAAACAGAGAAAGGCCAGGGGAGGCAAGTGGAGCACAGTCTTGGCCAAGATGGTGCCTAGGAGAATTCAGGAGGCCTCTCTCCTCTAAGGCCCTGGTGTGCTGGAAGAGACCCGGCTCATCCTTTCCACTGGGCATCTGCTGCCCTGCATGGGAAACCCTGTACAAGGACTTGCAAAATATAAGGCCCTAGGTTTGACTGCCATCACCACCAAAAAAAAAAAAAAAAAATTCCAGAACCGGTAAATCAGGAGTTAATTAGGTCCAGTATTCTCCTTGTTGCATATTTATACCTCATCAACGACAGAGCTGCCACTATGAGAAATGAAAACCAGCAAACTGCTACTTCCCAGTTACCTACGAATTAACATGAAATGAAGCATTTTGTTCTGGCATTTTCTAAGGGGAACTATTGTTCACAGAATCTCTCTTTGCACTCTGCAACTCCCAGAAGCAGAAACTGAGACACAGAAAGGGACCTGCGCACGCCCCACCATCCGCACCCTGAGTGTCATACGTGCAGCAGAGAGCAGCATCCAGCAGCCTTCACCACCCCGTATCCCACTACAGCCCTGCCTGGGCTTCCAGAGTAACCAAGAGCCACAGAGTCCACAGAGGCAGGACCTGGGCCCTGGCAAAAAAAAAAAAAAAAGTACCAGCTCCCAGGCTTCTGTTTGCCACACACTTGAACTAAAACTTTCCACATAAAATCTGGGCCTGCCAGGGCCAGATGGAGCAGGAATGAGCTCGGGGCGTCAGCAAGCAGCATCCCTGGGGATTCAGAATCCCTTTCCTGAGAGCCAGATCCCAGGCCCGGCCAGGCAGGAGCTGACCCGGGAGCCAGAGCAAAGCCTGACCTTCCAGAGAGCATGCAGCTGTCCGGCCAGCAGCTGGTACACACCACGGAGGGGCTTCTCACACACCCCCGGGGAGCTTGGTCAGTGCCCTGCTCTAGCAGCAACAGATTTTGGAAAACTGAAGCTGGGAGATTTGGCCCATCAAATCATAATCATCATGCTAGTTACCATTTCTTGAGAGCCACTCTGCTGGGAAGTACTTCCTGCATAATCTCTCATTTAAGTCTTACTACCATGAAAAGTACGTATGGTAGTCTCCTCTCTCCAGATAAGGAAACTAAGGCTCAAAGGGGCCGAGAAGCTGGCGTCCAGGAAGCGGGAGTAGAGGGTAACAGCTGTCTGTGGGATCAGAGCCATGTTCTTCCACAACCACAGCTGAGTGCCAAGACCTGCGGCTAGACACCGAAAGGTGGACCCTCTCCATCCCTGGCCCTACCTGTCCCAGCCCCAGCACTCGACTCCCCACGCACTCGACTCCCCACGCTTGCGGCTTCCCCATTCTTACATGGCCAAAGGGGTCCAGGTGGTTGTTTGTCAGCTTCAGCTTCTGGAAGGAGACCAGCTGCCGCATCCAGTGGGCCCCCGTGGCGGGAGAATCCGGGTGCACATACAGCCTTCCCGGCATGGCCGGCTCGGCCTTGCCGGCCACCATCCTGCCAACAGCGCAGACAGAGCAGCAGCAGTTGATTACACTAGGGTCTGGGAAACCCAAATTCCCAGTCTCCTCTGAGAGCAAATCCTCAGCGACCAGGAGGGAACAAACAGCTGCTGCCCCTCACACCTTCAGTTTGGGGAGGAGAGAGGGCAGGGGACTCAGGGGAGGAAGGAGGGCAGGGGAGAGTGCCCTAGGGGGCAGGCAGCAGTTTGGAAGCTCTTCTACTTCACTGCAGCAGAAAAATGGGAGACTGTGGGGGAAACGTGAACATTTACCTGAAGGGCTAAGGGTATTCACAAAGACACTGGGAGATTTAGGCGCTTCTGTGTTTTATTGACTGATAGATGGTTCTGGGGATAAAACTCAGGGCTTCATACATGCTAGGGAAGCACTCTGCCACTGAGCTACTCCTCCAGCCCATATATTTCTAACTTTTAAATGTTATAAATTGTGTTAGCTGGAGGGAGCTTCTCAAAGGGCCTAGAACACTTTTAAATTGTTTGCCCCAAAAACAATGGTCAGATATTAACTGGTAGCTGACCCCTCAGCCAGAGCCTGCTCTGAGTTCTAATCTGGCTCAGTGGGACAAGATACAGAAACCTGGGCCTTGCCAGGAATGGGCCACCAAATCCTGCCTCCTCAGCTCCGTCCCTGCAGGCCCTAATCCCCACCATGGAGCCTGGGAGGTCTGGCCAGCTGCCCCTCCCTGAGAGGGTGCTGCTCCGAGCTCCAGGGGCAGACAGGGTGCTGAGGAGTTTTGCCTCCTGAAAAGTAGCCCAGCACTGACTTCCATAGCCCCAGTTTGGTTTGGTTTGGCCCTTCAGGCTGTCTGTCACCCCTAGTCCTTGCCAGAGGGTCCTGCCTCTCTCTCTCTCTCTCTCTCTCTCTCTCACACACACACACACACACACACACACACACGCACACACACCATAGCAGCAGCCTTATTTGGCCTGAAGGTGGGCACACAGCCAGAGAGGGGCACACTCTGCAGCCAGAGGGCAGCCACAGGTCCAGTATCAGCCCTCACTAAGAGAGTCCTCCAAGAAAATGGTTCCCAGCCTCCTCCCTTGTGAAGCACTTGCAGAGCCCGAATCTGCCAGGCATTAGTGCTTTCTCATCACCCAAGAGCACGGGTACCAAGTCTCACTTGTCCGTGGCTGTGAGGAGAAGATGGGCCCTCAAAACCCAGCAAACACTGCAAGCGCTTTCACCCCTAAATCCTGGCCTACAGCAGATGTGCAGACCCTGGCCACCCCCGCCCTCTGCAGACCAAGGTCCAGGCAGTGGATCTGAGGCTGTGGATCGGGGCATTCACTCAGACTGGCTGGGGCGGGGGTGAGGGTCACTGGACTTAACATAGGCCAGGAGGAGAGGAACAGTTGAGGGAAGGCAGGCCCCAGGCCTCTTACCATTTGTTGTCACAGAACTTGTAGCGATGGTCATCTGCAGGGACGATGTCAATCAGCAAGATGTACTTGGTCTTGGGGTTCATGCCTGTGACTTTTACCTTGTAGCTGGGGAACATCCTCCTGGTGGAGCCAAGGGGTTGGGCAGGGCACGGACAGCACCGGGAGAGATGGTACAGAGTGAGCAAGGGACAGGCAGTGCCCTTTTAGCAAGAGATCCTGGCCCTTTGCCCTTGCTGCCCCGCGGAGGGCCTGCCTAGCTGCCTTCTCCGAGCCCCTGTAGCCATCAGTCTGGGCAGACCCTATACACAGTGGCCCGCCCCCACAAATCTGATGGGGGGCCTGCTGCCTGTGAAGCAGTGACGTACAAAGACCGTGGTCAGGATTTGTGCACCAGATCTCAACACCAGCCTAGCCACCTCAATTTCCCCCTGGCCTTTGCTAGCCCATACACAGCTAAAACTCTAGGGTGCCATTATAGGGTGCCAGGGCCGATGACCTGGAAGCCCCCATCAGCTGCTTCCATACACAGTGGGATGCCCCCTCTGGGTCAGGACGGTGGAAATGCTGGGCCTTAAGCCAACACTGGGAAACAGGAGAGTGCTCTGAAAACCCGTCTAGGTCTAGACTCTCCCAGTGTGTTTCCCACTGTGCATGTCTCCCCTCGCCTGTGCGCCGGAACTGAGAAGCAGGAAAGTTGGTCCAGGAGCCTCATTTAGAAGAGCATGGATTCTGAAGCCACCCTACCATGGTCCCAGCCTGGCCCCATCACTGATGACCCTGAGGCCTTAGGCAACTTGCCTATGTCTCTTTGTCTCTTGGTTTCCCCATCTCTAAAGTTAGGATAAGCTTACTACCCATCTCCTAGGTATCTGAATGGGTTATATGAGTCAATTTATGACCATGACCACCAACCCCTGCTCGGCTTCACTTCCCCACATCACTGGTGTGACCTCCTTCTACAAGAACGGATTCACAGAATAAGGAAAAGCTTTCCAATTCCTACAGTCCATACTGAGGCTGTCCAGGACCCAGAGGATCAAGGAACATTCTAGAGAAGGACTTCCCCAGACCCCTCAGCACACACACAGCGGCATGTACACATCCTGCAGGGGCACAGCTCCCACCCCTGGCCACCAGGTCCCTGGCACTGGGCTTCACCAGAACAGAACAGAACGGAGCACAACCTGCTCGTGTTCCCTCCCCATGCTCCCTGCCCCTTCCTCACTCACATTCCATAGAAGAGATTCTCAGGAGAGAAGCAGGATCCAAACCCAACTGAAGACATGTAGGGAAATGGGGACCTGTCCCCCTGAGATGTGACACTGCCCAACCAGACCCCTCCAGGGGTAGGTCGGTCCTCTGCCTCTCCAACTCAAGACGGAACCTCCTGAGAAGTTGCCCTGCACATCTTCAACAGATCAGCATCCCCGTTTTGTGGAAAAGGGTACTAGCTTACCTGGGTAGGGCAGGGTTTCCTGAAAGGATCAAGGCCTCCACAAGCAGGCAGACCCTATAGCAAGTCCCCAGGACCCTGAGCGGGCGGGTTTCATTCCACCCCAGCAGGGCCCAGCCCAGCCTGTGCCCGGGCTCCTGCTGCGGGCGAGGCGTAGCATACTGCAGGGGCATGTGCGCCAGGGCGCATGTGCAAGAGCACGAGGTACTAGTGCGCATGTGTGCAAGTGCGGTGCCTGCCGGGTGGGGGCCGTTCTAGCCACAAGTCTAGGGACTTATAAACCGGGTGGAAGAATTTGTCTCAGATGTCAACTGAAAGCATTTTCAAATGTCCACCCCACCCCCTCTTCAAGGCTGGGGGAAGTGAGAGGGCTCCAGAACCCAGTCCTGCCTACTTCACACCAGCCTCCTGCCCAGCCTGGGGGCACAGCTGGAGCCTGCACCACCCTCCATCCTGGCCATGCCTCTAACTTGGTGGGTCTGAAGCTGAAGCAGGAGGGCAGCAGCTGCCTGTCTCCCTCCTCTCTGAGGGAAGGCCAAGAATCTTGTCCCCTCCTGGCCACCATTTTGTAACCACTACAGAATCAGCCACAAAATGGGGTTGGTGTTGACCATGCTTTGGCTGGCCTGGCACCAGAGGCCCACTTTTAGACTATGTGTCCTGTAAGCACTCCAGAGATCCTCAGCAGAGGGCAGCCCTAGCTTCCCCCTAGGGCCAAGGGTCTGGAAGGAAATGGCTGGCGGCCACCTCACCCATTTTAAAACCTAGGTGAAGGAGTCTGAAGGACTCAGTCCTCTTTCCTCTCTCTGTGATACCTTGCCTCAGCAGCTCAGGAGGCTGGGCAGATGTTGACTGAGTAGCCCTTTGAGGGGCCTGTGCTCTGCTGGAAGCTGGTATCCAGTGATCTGGCCCTTCCTGGAAGGTGACCATGAACCAGATTGCTGGTGGATGACAGCCTCAGAGAGGCCCTGACACTGGGAGGGCAGCTCCTGCCCTCTGCGTCCTCTGCCTACGAATTCCCCTCTTCCTAAGGCAGCAGCCCTTGGCTTAGAAGAAGGGAGGGCAGCTGGGTGTCTGGTCTGAATGGGTAGCTCAAAAGTCCCCCATGGCAAGCCAGGTGTGGCGATGAAATCCTGTAATCCCAGCACTCTGGAAGCTGAGGCAGGAGGATCACTGTGAGTTTTAAACCAACGTAGGCTATACAGCGAGTTCAAGGCCAGCTAGAATTATATAGTGAGGACCCCTTCTCAGCAAAACAAAACAAAACACACCCTTGCTGCAGGCTGACCTGGCTGGGCTCAGGAGCTCCACTACCTTCCTGGGAACGCATGGGCAAGTCTCCAGCAGGGTCCAGTTTGGGGACTGCTTCTGGACCGCGTGGAACAACACAGAGGCGGCATGGGGTGGGGGGACTAAGCATTATCATTTCCCCACCTGGGTGGCTCCAGAAGGAGGAAGAGCTGTGTCCACGCCATGGGCATCTGCCCTTGGTTACCCAAGAGGCCAAAGGCCTGGCGTGGGGTGCCCATCGGGCCGCGTGGCTCTGACGCCTGAGGCTGGGCTGCGCTTGGGGGCTGGGACTTCCTCTGGGCTCTCCTGGCAAGGTGAAGGTCTTCGCTAATGAAACATATGAAACCAAGGAATGAGGCTAAGTCACGGCTCTGATTTATGGCATAAAATGTACCTGAAAACCAACACCCTACGGGGGAAGGACCGCCTCTGTGGGCTGGGGAGGGGGCTGGGAAGGGCGGGCGCGGCTCTGTCACCCGCCCGCTGTGTCCCCGGTCCCGCGCCTTCTCGCAGCAGCGCCTGAGCCCTCTCCACGCCGTCCGAGCCCCGCGCGCCCCGCAGGTCGAACCCCCAGACAGATGGGAGCTCCCCGAGCACCCTCCACTCGGAAACGGCCCCGCCAGGGGAATAAACGAGCTGCCTGAGCCGCCGCCCGCCCGGGAGCAGAAGAAAGCCTGAGTCTCTCTGATCCTGAACCCGGCTCCTACTGAGTGCGGGGCCGGGCCTTTATCTGCTTCAAACTCGGAATGAACTGCTAAGATAAGCTTCCTCCGGGGGTCGGAGGCTTGCAGGGCCAGGGTGAGGGTTTAAGGGTATCTTGATGGGGGCCACAAATCTGTGAATGCGGTTACTGCTGAGAGGGGACACGCCGCGGGTTGGGCTCGGAGAGCCATGCGGCTCCGGGTCAAAGTGGCTGTCAAACTCCAAGCGCTGAGCTGCTTGGCCCTCCGCCCATGCCAGGGGAGCTGGCAGACAGCAGCAGACCTGGGGGCTCCAGACCCCAGCCGCACGCACCCTGACTTCCCTCCGAGCCCAGCCTTCAGGAGCAGCTCCGTGCGCCTTCTCCTAAACCAGCCCAACACCAAAGCAAAGGGGTGAGGAGCCCGGAGAGAGTGGTTTCCAGCCCCTCAGCGGTGGTGGTGGGGAGGGCACGCGGGAGGCCTTCTGGGGGCTCCCGAAGTTCTCTTCCTTTCTCTGCATGTGTGTTCGTTTTACGAAAATCTAAAGACTTAAAGACTCGTGCACCCTTCTGCAGAAATATTCCACTTCAATAAAACGGAATTAGAAATCGCATATGCTTACACCCACATGCCTGGGAGTCTAGCATCTAAAGGAAAATAAAAGTGCTGCAGGGAATATGCAGGGGTCCCCTGGAAGCCATCCTTCTATCCCTCACGTCCAGGGGTCTTGGGAAGCTGGATCCAGGCACCAAGGCCGAGGTTAGGGTGGGGTTGTGGATGCCGCTTCTCCTGGAACCAGATGATTCTGAGATTCCTGCTTCACACACGCATGAGTTTTCTAATTCATCCAGAGCAATGTTAAGACATATTTTCCCTGAGGGGAGGGGCAGGCTGAGGGTGTGTGGAATGGATGTTGTTTGGGAAGGTCAGTTGCTTCTCTTAGATTTTTTTTTTAAAAGGCATTTCCTTCTGATGGACTTTTGCTTTCAGAAAATACTTTAAGAAGAGATCAAAGCGCTCTCTCTCCAACCCACTTTCCCAGTGTCTTCAGGCCTTACTTCTCTTATCATCCACGCCACTGGGCTCTGACGCTCTGTATACAGAGCTGGGGCAATTGGCTTTGAAGCCCCGGATTAAGCCAGGCCAAATCCTTGCCTCAGAATAACAAACAATACAGGTTCAACAGGAGTTCTCATCGGTAGTTCATTTTTCAAACGCAAATTCACTGTCACTAACACAAGCAACATTGAACTCAACAGGCTCTGAGGGCTGATAGCAGAGATTTATCTGGTGGCAAAACCATGACCTAGGAGTAGGGCAGTCAGACAGTTAGGAAATTTTCATTTTTGGGGAGGTTTATATTTGAATTTTTGTGGCGCTCACTTTTATCTGTGTTTGGGAGAAAATGCAGTTTCTCATATGTATCAAGCTTGGCAGGGATATGCGAAGAAGCCAAGACAGAGATCTGCTCTGGGTACGGAGGCCTAGGAGGAGCGGAGACTGGGCGGGGAGGGGCTTGGCTCCCATCCCACACCTGACATCAGGGGGTCCTGAGTGTTTAGAAATTGGTGTTTCAGCCTGTGGTTGGCATTTTATTCATCAGACGCAATTAGCAATTCGATCGCTATCCAATGAAGGGGATTCTTCTGTCCTTCAGCCTTCAGTCTTTCAAGGTTATAGTGGGCACGGGCAGGAGGCTTCTAACCCAGGAACTCAAACTGGCTTGAGCACATTCTAGGTCCCCTTTCTGTGGAGTTCTGTCCTCTTACAGCCTGACAGCAATAATTATGTCCCCAACTACCCAGGGTCTCTAAGGTAGGACACTAACCGCAGGTGGAACACAGCCCTGTAAAAATTTAGGGTCTTGAGCATGGTGGGTGGCGCACGCCTGTAATCCCAGCACTTGAGAGGCTGAAGCAGAAGGATTGCATTGAGTTTGAGCCCATCGTGGGCTACATAGCAAAACCTTGCCTCAAATAAATAAATAAATAATAGGGTCCTGATCTAGGGGTGAGGTGCATCATCTGCTTGGCTTGTGTGGACTTGGCAATTGCCTAACTGCCCTGCTCTGGGGTTTGGTTTATGTTTTCCTGGTTCCCTTCCAGCCCTGCAGTCAAGGAATCTATGATCCAAGGTTCAGCAGAAAGGTTCAGGCTATCTGCTGAGAAATGAAAGTCTCCAAGTCAGAGAGACACAGGGAGAGCACTGGACAGATGCTGAGGAGCCACAAGCCCCGCAAAGCAAGCTGCAAAGCCCTTGCACAGCGATCAGGGCGATGAAAGTGGTCTCTGAGGACAGACGCAGTGTTGTACACCTGTAATCTCAGGCACACAGGAGGCTGAGGCTGGAGGACTGTAAATGCAAAGTCAGCCTGGGGAACTTAGTGAAACTCTATCTCAAAATAAAATAGGAAGAATATAGCTCAGTGGTAGCATGTCCCTGGGTTCAACACCAGTACTAAAAAAGGAAAAGGAAAAAGTGACCTGTAAAAGATAGTGTGGAGCCAGGTGTGGTGGTGCATGCCTGTAATCTCAGCACTCTGGGAAGCTGAGGCAAGAAAATTGTAAGTTAGAGCCCAGCTTGGGCAATTTAGCAATTTAGGAATACCCTGTTAAGAAATAAAAAGATCTGGGGGCTGGGGATTTAGCTCAGTGGCACAGCGCCTGCCTGGCAAGCGCAAGGTTGTGAGTTTGATTCCCAGTACCGGAAAAAAAAAAAAAACAAAACAAAAAAAGAAATAAAAAGATCTGGGGATATACCTCAGTGAATAGGCTCTATGTTCAATCCCTAGTGTGTGTCTCTGTCTCTCTCTGTCTCTGTCTCTCTCTCTCTCTCTCTCACACACACACACACATACACACACACACAGAGTAAGCAACTATACAAGAGCACTATGGGGGTTAGGGGTGGGGATGAGGGTAGTAGCTCTAAGGACCAGACCCTGCACAAGGATAACTTCCTCCCAGAAAAATGAAAGAGCTGTAATTGGCCAGCTTCACCATGGCCAGTTTTAAACTATGAACGTCACTACCTGAGGCCCAACTCTGAGCCTCCACTAGGACCAGGCACAAGCTTCTGCCTGAAGCAGCTCTCCTCTGATGAACAAGTGGATGCACTGGGAGCGAGGAGGAAGGAGGACCCCTCCAGGCGGAGGAAACCCCTGGGGAGAACCACAAATGCCTTTTGCTTAAAATGGCCCAGCCAGCCAAGCCCAGAGAACATACGGACATTTATTTTCAAGAGATAAGGTTACTTCTGCTGCCTAAAAATGGAAATGCTGGGGTTTCTCTTTCTTCTTTCCTTCTCTCCATCCCATGAGGTATTTAAAAAAGGAAAAAAAAAGTCCCTTCTGTGCACCTGTAATCTACTTGACGATTTACCCGGCACCATTCACATGATTCCCTGTTTTGAGGTTCACAGTCACCAAAAACGAAGGCTAGCGAGCACATCTTCGCTTACCTGGTGCCATGGAGTTACAGGTAGTTCAACAACTTACTGAGTGTCAGGAAGAGGCAGGACAGGTGATACCTCGCCCTCTTCCTCAGTGACTGCCCCTTGTGGACCCAGGCCAGGCCCTACTACATCCTCCTTCCTCATCCTCCAAACCAGCACACTTGGCCCTGAAATCAACCCACCTCCTGCCCTGATAGAGGCCTGGGTGAATGACCCTCCTGTCTCCCTGACCAGACCTCCACAAACAGAGGAAACTTTATTGCCCGCCTGGGAGCATAGACAGGAAGGACCACAGCACCCTTATATGGCACCCAGAGAACCACAGCTTTTGTTTGTTTAATGGTGCTATGTTAAGTGCTCCACGCACAGCTGTATGAAGCAGTTTCACAGATGGAGTGGGGAGGGGGCAGAGACCCTTATGTCCCTCGTCTGAAGGTCACAGGAATGGAAAAAGCTGAGTTGGAGCTGGAACACTGCCCCACTGGGGTCAGACCATGCATAGTTCACCATCGTATTTCCCCAAAACCTCAACTGTGCACCCACAGCCAAGCAGAGGGACAATTTCACACCTAGCTGTCCCCAGGGACCAGACTCAAGTGTGCATATGCGGAAGGGGTGCAGGGAGAGGGGAGATTCCTAAACCTGGACCTTCCAGTGTCTAAGGCAACCTCCCTTCACCTGACCACCGCTCTCCTGGCTGTCCCTGCCCCACCCCAGTGAATCTCTGTCAGCCCCCGCTGCCTCTTCCTCCTCTCTCCTCCCTAGGCTCTCCCACAGACACCAGCACATTTTAAAGATGTTTCCACTTTATAAATCATTCCTCTCTGGCAGCCGCCCCGGAGCTGCTCCCCCAGCAACACAAACTCGGTGCCCAATGGTACCTTCCCTTTGCAAGGGGCTGGAAACAGGAGCAGCACCCCTAGGAGAAGAGATTTGGGGTTTGCCCTGTTGAGGGAGGGAGGTTACTGAGAATAAAAAAACATACTTGTGTCCTTCCCTATGTACCATTTTCTTGGGGTATCTCCTGGTCCCCATCTCAAGAGATGGGAGAACTCCTCCTCCTCCCTACAGGTTCTCAAAGAGAGGCGGACAAAGCAGCCATACAGGGCGCCAAAAGTGCCGGCTGCCGGGCAGCCAGGAACCACCTTTGTTTGCATGTCATTTGCATATTACTGCCCCTCCCCTCCAGCCTCTGGCTGCGACCCTCCAGAGGAATACCGAGTTTTGGGCCTCAGCAGCCTGATCCCAAGCCGCTTCGGGAGGGATATGGATTTGAGACCCTAGGGGCAGCTGAACTTCCGCAGGCCTCCAGGCCCAAAAACGAGAGAACTTCTCAGAAGTGCCCTGGTCTGATTCCCCTTGCTCCATCGTCCCCAAGTAATCTCCAGCGCTGACCTGCCCGCCTTGGTGATGATCATCTCGGTGCCCGCCTCGTGGAACTTCTTCCAGAGCTCCTTCTCGTGCAGCCCCACCTTGATGTTCTCGATGGTCTGCGGTGGGAAGGAGGGAGGGGGCTCGCGTCTGCCCGGCCCGCGGCGCCACGCGGAGCCGCGAAGGGAAAACGCTGACCCGGAGAAGCGCGCGGATCACGCCAGCCCAGGAGCCTGCGCCTCGAGATTTCCTTTCACAAAAGGATTTTGAACCAATGGTGAATTTTAAAATTTTAATCAGTGGTTCAAACTCCCTCCTTGGGGTGCAACTCAGGTGGGCCCGCAGAGGACCCACAGCGACCGCGCCGGCGTGGACCACGCGCTCCCACGCAGACATCCATCCTTCGCGCGGCTGGCCGCGGCCACAGGCTGCGGGCCGACCCGCCGATGTGGGGGAGGCCAGGGCGAACCCCAGGCGGGAGCCGCTGGTCCTGGGGGTCAGCCGGGTGACAGCGGTGTCGCGGAAGGCCTCGCAGCCCCGCGGCAGGCCCTGGGCGCACCGGCGAGGTCTGCTCGCCGCGGCTCCCGGCTCTCGCCTCTGCCCGCTGGGGCCCTCGGAGCTGGGGCTTGGCTCCGGCTGCCCCGCTGCTGCAGGGGTCCCGAGCCGCCCCGACGCCTCGCGGTGGAGAAAGGCCCGGAAAGCAGGGGGCACAGCCGCGCCCCGTGGAGAATGCAAGGCAGAGCTCGGGAGCAGCCGGCCCCGAGGACGGTGCAGCCGGCATCAGCCGGTGACTCGCGCAGACAGACAAACCGATGCCAGAGTGCCCCGCAGGGGTGGCGCGGCCCTACCTGCTCGGCGGTTGCGGTGGCGGCGGCGACGTCGGTGCCCGGGCCCGGGGGGCTACCGAGCGCGGCTCCGCTGAGGCCCGGCGCTGCCAGCGCGGGCTCGGGGGCGGTGGCGGCGCTGCCCTCGCCGAGCGCTGGGCCCGGGGCCCGGAAGGCCACCTCGCTCTCCGACAGGCCCTTGTCCTGCAGCATCTCCTGCGGGCACAGCACGCGCGTTACTCGCCCGGATCCGGATCCGCACTGGCCAGAGGCCCCGCGCCCTCCCAAGCGAGCTGGGGGCCTCGTGCATGCGGGTGTGGAGGCGCTCTGGGCACGTGGACCCCGCCCCCCTGAGCCCGGGGGTGGGATGCGTGCGGGAGGGCAGGACCCTCGCCTCCTCCCTACGGGTTCTGGACCGGGAGGGTCTGCCTGCCCCTGGGTGTGGGGTTGTTCGATGATGGGCCTGGGGGAAGGACCGCCCTCTCAGCACAGCCCCAGCTGCACCCCCAGTCCCTCCCTCCTGCTGGGCTCGGTGGCCTGGGTCTTCTCAGTCCTTCCAAGATAACTGGGGTCCAGGCCTCACTTTTGGCCTAGGACAGCCAGGACTCTTCCTGGGGCAGGGGAGAGGCAGCCCTGGAGGCAGGGCCTGGGCTTTGCAGTTCCACACCTGCAGAGAAGGTGAGAGCTGGAGGGCCCTTTCCCCTCTGCTCACTCGTGCGCCCTCACCCATGCCCTCAGATGGCACTCAGGCCGACTGCTTCCTGAACCAAAGGCTTCGCTCCTACACGGTCCCACCGGGCCACACATCCTCACAGGAAGACAGCACCCTCAGGCTACCTCCTCTTCACCTCGCCTAGGGCCCCTCTGGTCCCAGGACCTGAACTCTGCCAGGGCCAGCACCCCCCGCCCAAAGCCTGTCGGCACATTCACACCCACTGGCTTACCCGCTCACACTTTAGTTCCACAGGGCTCTGCTTGGGGCCAAGGGACCCAGACCCTTCCCAGCCAGGACCAGGCTAGAGCTCACAGGCACAGCCAAGCCTGGGCCTATTTACCCACCCACCCTGTAACTGCTCCCCGTCTGCAGCTGGTCCTGGGATACCAAGAAAAAACCCAGCTTGCAAAGATCAGCATCTCCCCCAGGAAGGGTGCAGCCCTCACCATCTCTGCTTCCCTTCCTACCTCCCTGGTTGTCCACCGTCTGGATTTGGCCAAGTTCAGGTGGGCTTTCTGTGTGTCTGACTGCCTGTCTGCTTTGTGGCGCAGCGTCTCCCCTTCCTCCTGCTCTTTCGGTTCTCCCCTGGATCTCCCCAGCCTACCCATCCTGGGTTTAGAGTCAGGCTCCCAGGCCCGACAAAGTAAACAAGCCAAGTGCAACCGGGAGATAAAAAGGGGCCGGGGCCCGCTGGGGCTGGGAAAAGCCCATAAAGATAAGCCTGACAGCCAGACGTCCTCGGCCACAGCCAGCGGGAACAGGGCTCCCGCCGGGACAAGGCGACCGCGACACCCACCTTGAGCCACATGCGGGTTTCGGCCCAAGCCCTGCAAGCCCAGGAGCCTGCAAATAGGGGCGGGGGCGGGGGTAGGGTGTTGCACGAAGAGGGTAGGGTGCCCTGAAGCCAAAGCACCGGTTTCTACTCTATCTGGGCCCCGGGCTGGGACGGTCTCCCTGCGGCTCCTACGTGCGGCGGCTCGCGGGACCGGTCGGGGACCTGGCTACCAGGTCCTCTGCCGGGCACTTGCCACACCCGGAGCAGCACAGGGGCGCGGGTCAGCTCGCCGGTCACGCTCTCAATTCCGCCGAGTGCGGAGCACAACTGCGGACAGGGTCCTCTGCGCGCGCTGGCGGCGGAGGTTGCGCTGCGCTCCGTCCCCTCCTCGGAGCTCGCCTCCGGCTCTTCTCGGCGACGGAGCCACACTCTAACCTCGCCAGGGCTCACCCTCTCCGAAGCTCCGTGCCAGTGTCCTTTACCGCCACCCCTACCCCAAGCGGCGGTCCCCGGAGTCCCCTCGGACTCCTATCCGCTCGATCGGGTCCCGCACCCCACCGCGGTCAGGGCCGGAGCTCAGCGCTGCACCCTTCCCGTCCGCCCTGCGCTGGAGCGGCCCGGCTGTGCTCCGTCGGTGCTCGGGTGTGCGGCTTTCGGCTACCTCCTTTTCCAAGGACGGCAACATTTTTCTTTTCACTTTTAGGTTACTTAGTAATTTTTTTTTTTTGCAGTAGGAAAAGGGTTAGTATTTTGTACTAGTTTTAATATTTAATTGTCCCTATTATCAGAGTAATATCAATTCAGTAACGTAAAGTATAATTTACCCGAGCATGTGAACTGCTGGTACTTTTTATCTTGAATAATGTGTGGTTAAAGCGCTGGTTAGATTCATTAATTTATCAGTATTACATATGTTGTCGTTGCCTTCCTGTCACTGCTTCAGATTCAGGAAACCCTGACACATTAGTAATACTGTTTCCAATATCTAGGTAATTGGATTCCAATAGGTCCTGTTAATCTATCTTTATTTTAATTTTACTCTGTATCCCTAAAAATGTTTCCGCATCTAGCTCTTCATTCTCTTTAGACTTTGTCACGCCTTTTGAATAACGTTATTTACCATAACTTGCAATAGTATTGTTCTCAACATGCATGTTAATTTTGTTAATCCTTATAATATTTCTTACTATCTTACCATCATTTGTTTTATTAGGATTGCTCCTAATACTCCAGGTAATATTCTTCATCACATCGTTACAGTATCTTGTTACTTTGTCATTATTGGTAATGTTACAGATCTTAATTCGCTTGTTATTTTTCATCACATCATTACTTCTTGTTACTTTGTCATAATTTGTAATATTGCTGTAGTTCTTGGTACTCTGATTATTTTTCATCACATTGGTACAATACTGCTTATTGCTCAACCATTATTTATAATGTTATCGTGACTATTAATACCTTGGTCATAAATTGTCATATTACTCCAACATTTCTTATTACTGTGTGTTTATATTGCTATTGCTCTTGAGATCTTGCTATTTGTTTTAATACTTCACTAAGGTGTCAATAATGCATTATGTGATAGGATTCTATCAATGCTAATAGTATTTCCTTTAATAGCATTTTTATTGTTCATCTTTTCCTACAGTTTGCTTCTTACAGTTGCCTATAGTGTAGTATTTTGTGACATCATTATTATATGTTCTATAATTGCTACTGATTTTAATACACGAGTGCTTACATTGTTTCTATGTCAGGAATTACTTTGTTTTTTAATTCTTATAAATTATGATTACTATTTTCACTTGATTTTGAAAGTGACTTTTATTGCATTATTTTGAAGTGCAAGTGTTGTATCAGTAATGCTGTTTAGCCTTGTTTCTTTGGTAATTGCTCACATTCTGATAATTTTTGATCATCGATCATTATTTATACATAATGTTCCTCTATTTAATTTTAACAAATCTGGTGTATCAAAGGCTCTAAAATCCAGTGTTCTGATCACTCACATTTCTGCATCTATTTTCACCGCCAGTACCCCGGCCTCTTTCCTTTTCTTATTCTGAAAATATCCATTTTAAGGACACCACTCCTGTCACAGTTTAGCCTTGTTTCTCCGGTGCTGGCTCTGCCCTGTCTGTGTGCTTGAGTCCGTACACCCAGTCAGCCCGTTACTCGGAGAGGAGGACTGCGCCTCAGCCTGGGTGTCCAGCGAGGCCACCCCTCGACCTGAGGGTTCCTGCGCCTTCCTGCGCAGCCTTGGCCGCCCCCGATGTTCTCACCCCGCTCGCGGTACTCGCTCCTTTCCAGCTCAGCTTCTCGACCCTGCGACACCCGAGTCCGGGCGGCCCCAGCCCCGCGCGCGCGCTCACCCCATCCCACTGGAACCAGCACTCACCCTAACTGCGCTGCCACATGCGGAGGCGCCTGCGGCCCGAGGTCCACTGCAGGCGCGGGCAGAAGAGCGCGGGGCAGCGCAGGCTCCGACTCCCGGCCGGGTCAGGGTCTCTCTGCCCGCCGCGCCCTCGGGGCCGGACGCATCCCCGCTTCAGAGCGGGCCCTTGATCTCCGAGGCTGCACTTTGGGGCCTCAGCTCTCTCCTCCTTGCTCCCTCCCTCCCTCCCCCCCCAGCTCTGACGTCGCCGCTGTCAATCAGCCCGCGCCCGCCGCCCCCCGGGGAGGGGGGCTCCAGGGTCCCCGGGCTCCGCGGCTCCCCCGGACCCCAAACCCGGAGCGGGCCGCCAGCTCCTCCGCCGCGCGGCCTGGTGCCCTCCCTGCGGCCCTGGGACCCCGCCGACCGACCGGGTAGGGGCCGGGGCGCATGGTTTAGATTAGAGAAGGAGGCGAGGGCGCGTGGCCCTGCCGCCACCCGAGGGTGCACGGTGAGGACTGCTCGCCCGACGCCTCCCCAGCCGGGCCCGGCCCGCCGCGGCCCACTCCCGGGCAGCCGCCCACGGACCCCCAACTCGCCAACTGCTTCCTGCTCCAAGCATCGCGGGTTCTGCCCCATTTCCCCAGGGTCGCGGTGCACGAACGCCTCGCAGCCCCATGCGCCCTCATCCACCATGCCCTCCCCGGTCCTCACACCTGCAGGCTCGGGCACTGGGCACGGCCCCGCTGTCCCCTGCCCCTTCTCTTCCCGGCCTAGGGCCGCGGGCGCCCGACTCGGCCTGGCGCGCCTTGGAGCCGGCGGGCCGAGGTCACTGAGGAGGGCAGGGAGGAGGCCCGGTGGCCGGGCCTGGAGTGGCGGCGCCGGCGAGGTGCCGGGCCAGCCTCCGAGTCCGGGCCCAGACCCGGTTTGAAGGCGGCTTGAAGGTGCCAGGCTTGGCAGAGCCTCTCGGGGAAACTGCAGTGAAGGCCAGGACTCCGCCAGCAGGTCCGAGATCCTGCAGAGCTAAGACGGAGCCCAGTGCCTGCTACTGCAGCCTAGAAAGCTGAAAAGGAGGAAGAGCCTTGCTCCGAGCCAGCGTCCTCCGTGCCTCAGAAAAAAAGCCCAGCTCAGCTGCCTGGACCTCCGTGCCCCAGCCTGCCGCCTTCTGGGTCCCCTTTACCTCTACCTGTTTTTTTCCTCTGTACCACCCTACAGGCCCTGAGGTTCCACAGGCAGACAGATCCATGGCGACCTCAGCCTATGCCGAGCCTCACAGCCTGTCCGATGCTCAGAACACTGCGGCAATGGCACACCTGCCCACCCATCCTCAAAGGCCCCAGAATCTACTTGGATTCCTAGATAGTCCCTCAGTTCTCAGCATGTGCTACATCCCTCCCTCCACTAGGGTCTCCAACCTCCCCAATCAGCCACTTCAGATTCTGACCACAAAATCAGACCGAAGGTCAGGGCACAGGTCTGTGCCTTTTCTAATACCAGGAACAAGACAGCCGGTATCCACGCCTCCCTCCCTGGTCTGCACTCAAAGGAGGAAGCAAAGCACCAGCTCAGAAACGCCAGCTTCTGCTCTCAGGAGCCCACTGCTCCAGAATCCCTACCACCCCCTGCAGCACCAGACCTCCTGACCCCTCTCCCTTCCATGACTCTGCGCTCTGGCTCGCTGGTAGAGTCCCCTAAGCAGAGTGGAGAAGCCTGACCCTGCCCCAATCCTGCCTCCTTCTGGAACGGAGGAAGGAAGCCCTAGTGTTTCAGAAGATGTCTTGGGAGTCGTTTCCGGTGTCAAGGAGAACTGGATGACAGGCCTCAGCTTCTGCTCCCATGCCCCGCTCCTGTGCCCCTCTAACAGCTTTTAGGGAACTCCCTGGAAACTAAATAGTGAACGGGCCAGCTACCAGCTGCAGTGGAGAATGGTGAGCAGCGAAGCCAGTGAATCACCAGGTACCGGCGGAAGATGAGACTTGGGCCAGACGCAGGAGAGAATTTGTTGACAGTCATTGGAGGAAGGCCATAAAGGGACTGTGTAGTGTAGCTCAAACAAAACAAAACAAAACAAAACACTAGACTAGAGCTTTCCTATAAGTGCAAGTCTTTCTGGAGACTCACAGGAGACAGCTTCAATCAGTACCAACTGGTTCATTATGATTTGGAGAAATGAGATCAGGAAGGGGCAGGCAAGCCTTTGGCAATGAAAAGGGAGTGGTAAAGCAGCCAGCAAGTAAGAGAGAGGTGCCATTTACATAATCTCCATTACATGGAGGAAATATCTCCTCTTCTTAACTCTGACATACGCTTCTCACATTTTGCACTTGATTTTGGCCAAAAGGCGGAGAAGCGATGACTTCTCACATTTTGACATGTCTGAAATTGTGGTGCCTCTTATAACCAGTGGTGCATCGGTTCTACTAGCCGTGTTTTCTTCTTTTTAGTGGTTCATAAGGTCATAGAGTAGCTTATAATTGGTGAAGTATAGTATTTCTGATACATGGCCAGTTTAGAAAAGGAAAAGATTCCTCCTCACACACAAAACTGCTCTGAGGAGTTTCAAGTACAAACCCCCCTCTCAACCAGCTAAGAAAATAACACAATAACCAAGCATCCCACTGACTTGGATTGGCTTAGGAGAAAGTCCTTAGGTTTGGTATCGGGTTGACCTTGGTTTTGAAACCAGGCTTTGAATCCTGGATCACTGTTTAGCAGCTGTATGACCTTAGGCAAGTCCCTTAACACCTACATCAAATGAGGATAATTACTCAAACCAACTCTCGTACTGTGAGGACTGGCTAGATGACATGTAAATGCCTGGAATGCTATGGGTGGCTAACGAAAGTATAAAGTAGCCCCAAGTATTTTTAAATTAAATTGATTCCCCTCCCTCCTAAAAGGCTTGAGGTACTTCATAATGAAAATAAGCTAATTTAAAAAAAAAAAAAACAACCCAAACAGAAAGACAAATTAGGCTCGGGGCAAAGGAGAAAGCATATATACTATCACCAAGTGTCGACAACACTGCTATAATTGAAGGCAAATCTGGTCTACCAGCAGCAGGGCAAATGGGGTTTCTCAGTTTTGGAAATGTGCACGCAGTAATTCTTCGGTAAAGGACTGGGGAATAAATGTTCCCTGGCCCTTAATTTGAAAGTAGTTTGTTGTGTAAATTTTTGTTCTTGTATCTTATGTCTAGGTTTTTTTTTTTTCATTCACAAAGTAGTCTTGCAACTTTGATCTCATTTGATAATGCATAACTCCACTTTAGAATACTATGGATTTATTCATCCAAAGAAATACTTATCATGTGCTTATTATGTTCCAGCCACATAAATAAGAGGAGGCCAACTACCCATTCTATTAACGAGCCGACTGATTGGCTACCTGCAAATTCAGTAACAAATGGCTTGCAAGCTCACTGATGGATCACCCGGATGACTCCCAAAGGACCAAGACTACAAGCCTGAGGAAGCCCACCAACTCAGCCAGGTGGCTCACCCAGAGCCCAGGGTGCGTGTGACTGAGAATGCCCACCTGAGCTGCCATCATAGCATGGCGAGAAGCAATTACAATTGCTTTAAAAAAAAAAAAAAAGAATTTTGGATCATTTAATAAATGCCAATGCGAAACCCCAACACAGATCAACTGCATCAGAATCACCAAAAGCAAAGCCAAGGTGGAGACCGCTGCTCTGTGCCAAGCATGGAAATCCTGTGCTCTGCCCTCCTGTCCTCCCCACAGCTAGGGCTTCTCATGTGACCCAGTATTGGCCAATGACACCTCAGAGGAAGACTTCGGGAGGAAGGCTGAGGGAAATGTTTTTGCTTCTCTGATAAAGCGGAAGATGTAGTATTCTGTTCTCCTGAGGGTGAAATCCTCAGAGTTATACTAAAGAGAGCAGAAAGAGCGAACCGAGATTCCTTATGGCACCAGTGAGCCAGTTCTGGTTTTGTTTTTGTGTGTAATTGAGAAAAATTAACCCTCTTTTTTTACATCATTGTAGTCTGGATCGCTTGCTTACTGCAAAATACACTCCTAATCACATGCATAGGTTTAAGTGAGTTTGTTATGCACCTGAGGATCTGTGCATCAGAAGCCAGGAAACAACCCCTGCCCCAGCCTCCCCTCAGCTATTTTTATTCTGCATGTGCTATGTCTAAAGCCTGGCATCCGTAAGTCCCCAGAAGGAACAGGATGGTGGAGGCCACAGGGAATTACCTATTCCCTGTGGCTTTATTGTCACCCAGTAGCCCGGAATCTTGGTTCCAGATTCCCCAGCCCACATCCCATTGGGATTAGCACGCTCAGGCAGCTGGGGCCGGATGGGATCCCAGCCACTTAGAGAAGCTGGCCTGGAGCAAGGGCTGGGCGGAGGTGTGGCAGCTGCTCCTGCAGGTGCTTCCCCTCACCCCACGGAGGAGGGCTGCTCCCCTGACCTCTCACCCCAGCCTCCCAGCCTTCTCCCACCAGAGAGAATTAGGAAACTTCCAGTTTGAAATAGCTGAGGACCAGGTTGCCCGCACGTCTAGACGAGAAAGGCCAAGCTGGGCCTTGTTGGGACTGAGGGTGCGGTGACTCCAACAGCACAGGTGGGTCCCTCCTGCAAGAGTCAGGAGAGGATTCTCAAACCAGGGTGTGCATATCTAGCCAGCAGTCTAGGTCTCCCCTTCCAGAGTCCTCCCCTGGAGGTGGGACAACCCGTTTACCCCCATTCTGCTACATGCTCTTGAACCTTCCCTTCCTTCCATTTCCTCCAGAAAGATGTCTCTGAAACTCATGCTTGTACCATCTGTCTGAGGAAAGTATATCTGCTAGAGTTGTATTGGATGGCACACACCTATAATCCCAACATGGAGGGAGGCTGAGGCAGGAGGATCACAAATTTGAGTCACGTCTGGGCAACCTGAGAGAACTTGTCTCAGGATAATGAATGAATGAATGAATGAATGAATTCATTGGGGATGTCACTTGGTGGTAGAGTGCTCCTAGGTTCCATCCTTAGTGCAGGAAAAAAATCCTAAATGAGAGATATTACTTAATTACCCAACTCCTTCTCCCTTTTTTCTTCCAGTCATTCTTTCTAACCATAATCCAAAAGTGGCTTTTCATTTGGCTCTTCAGGGATATCCCTGGGTGAGGGGCTGAAACAAATTAGAATTCCAGAGCAAGAGACCGTGTGTGGGCTCTCTTTGGGTTCAAATC